AAAAAAAAAAAAAAAAAAAAAAAAAGAGAAGGGAGAGAAGTGGCATATGATAGAACTTGGGTACTCTTACTTATTAGAAAGTTGAAATTGAGGTAGAGAGACAATTAAACTGCTCTGGCATCCCCAAACTTCTGGCATTCTGGAGGATGGAATATGGCTAGCGAGGACTTAAAGAGTGAAGAAAGAAAGGAGACATCTTTGCCCACTGAAGCTAAGTAAGTTGACTACTTTTAGATTGAAGACTAGGCAAGTATTATAATGTCCTATTGCAGGCAGTGATCATTTCCACATTATCCTTTTCAGAGCCTGCACAATGATGCTGTTGACATTAGTGTGGAAACTTTGCCGTTATCAATAGAGTTACCTAAAGTTAAACCAAAATAAACTTTCTGTATCTCAGAAAGTTAGTTATTAGGAAAAAAAAAAAAAAGACAAGACATTTTATTCATTGTTCTCTGTTTCAAACTTTCCATACTTCTCCTTCCCCCTTATTCTGCTATTACCTGACTCATTGGCCTCACCAGAGTTGAAGAGGTTTCTTCCCATTTTCTTTATATCTTGCTAAAAATATTCATGTGACAAATAGATTGTATATATTGAAAGTGTAGAACATGATGCCTTGATATATGTGTATATTGTGTATCACCACAACCAAATTCATTAATACATCCCTCACCACCCATGCAGTATATTAGATCTGCAGAACTTGTTCATCTCATAATTGAAAGTCTTTTGAAAGGCACTGAAGAGCAGGGACAGCATTCTCCGCCATTCTAGCATGAAGGCCTAGATGATAGTCACTAGGGCTGGAATGAAAACCTTATTGGCAGGAACCTGTTGCCTCATCCTGACCTGCAAGTCTCAATAATGAGATGATTCCTTTTCCTTCCACTGGTCTTTGACTTCAGTATCTTTTTCTGGTATTGTTCACAAGCTGTTCACATATTCTGTAGGTCATCTTCCCAGTCCAGGACTTATAGCCTGATTTCATCTCCTAAAGTTTAATCTGCCTCTTTACTTTCAGCTCTGCCCTGAACAACTTAAACAAAAACAGAGAAGTATACAAATGTCAGCTTTTAAGTTATTCATTTATTCAATTAACATTAATGAACAACTACTACATGCTAGCCATTGTGCCTAGGTGCTGGGAATGAAACTGTGAATAACACATATCTGGCTAATGTATGGTGTGAGAGAATGTGCAGACCAGAAAGGAAATTTCTTCCCCTTCCAAATATGTTTATATCCTCTGACTTTTATGGAGATCCCATCAGAGAATCTTATCACAGTCCTCATTTTATAAACCTCTTCTAAGTGGGATCTCCAAAGAATTCAAGACTTACTAGCTAAAGAGAAAGATCTTCCTAGAGCTTCAAATATAAATTAGATGCTCCCACTCCCATTATTATCCTTCTTCGCATTTAACACAATTGAAATTATACATTTATTTGAGTGCATATTTATATTTCTTTTTTCTTTTTTTTTTTTTTTTTTTTTTTTTTTGGTTTTTTTTTTTTTTTTTTTTTTTTTTTTTGAGACGGAGTTTTGCTCTTGTTACCCAGGCTGGAGTGCAATGGCGCGATCTCGGCTCACCGCAACCTCTGCCTCCTGGGTTCAGGCAATTCTCCTGCCTCAGCCTCCTGAGTAGCTGGGACTACAGGCACGCGCCACCATGCCCAGCTAATTTTTTGTATTTTTAGTAGAGACGGGGTTTCACCATGTTGACCAGGATGGTCTCCATCTCTTGACCTCGTGATCCACCCGCCTCGGCCTCCCAAAGTGCTGGGATTACAGGCGTGAGCCACCGCGCCCGGCCGCATATTTATATTTCATGCCCACCCTTCACCAAATTTTCAAGTTACTTAAATCAGTTTGTTCCTGTATCCCCAGTGCCTAGCATAATGCCTGCCTGGTATACATAAGGTACCAAAAAAATACTTGTCAGTTTAGTGGTTGAATGAACAATTGAACAAATTAATCCTGTTATCAGTTTGAAGGAGGACACCAAAGATTGAAACTAATCTCGCATGCTTCTCTGAAGGAGGGGTCATGATCATCACACTTTGGATTTAAAATAATTCATCCTAATGTCTCAGGGAAACTTAAAATTTAAATATACCTGTTTGCATACTTAGTCACCTTCTTGCTGATCATCACAGAGTTGAACTCACAAGGTGAGAGCATGATCTGAGCATTGTACACCAAGCCCCAGACCAGGGTCTATCTTCAGAGTGCTCATCTTTCCTTAGGCAAGGGTCTAATATCCTACTTTAGACAATTTGGGCTTATGGCTTCTTAAGCTGGTTGTTCTGGAGCCAAACCTTGCAGTTCACCCACATTCCAGAGACGGTTAGGGTTTCTCATTAATCTCTGTCTGGATCCTGTTCTCAGATTAGTGACCACTGAAATATAATCCCTATCATGGGGAACGAAGAACCTGACCCATACAAAGTTGAGCTGAAGAACTGTTGCCTCTCTGAAACCAGTTGTCCCTGACTTCTCACCTCTTCCAGGCATAGCACGATGATTCAGGGAAGCCATTATTATACCGTCATTACCAAGCAGCCATCCATCACTCCAAAATGTATATAAAGGAGTCCTTCTTATATAACTTGTCATTTTTGCTCATATTTAGCACCAACAGAGAGCAGACTCTTGGAGTTGAGAAAGAAAAGGTACTTGGGTTCTGTATAGCTGAATAGAGACTCTTTTCTCAGAATTAAAATAAAAGAACAGGGTCTAGATAGGACCCATTCTGTGACAATTTGTCCTTATTTTCAGAACCCCATATGGCAGGTTTTTTAATATGGAGGTGAGAATAGTTGCCTAGAGCAAAATATGGAAATCCCAGAAAAGACCCAGAGACAGCACCAGGCCTCAGATGCCTAGTAAGGGCAGAAGTAACCTCTTCCAGGAGGCCTTGGTATAGATCTGTTACACTACAGCATGGTGTTGAGGATCTCAGAGGATTATACTGCCGAGGTTCAACTCTAGCTATGTAATTTCTGGTAAGTTACTTACATTTTTTTATGCTTCAATTTACCATTCTGTGAAATAGGATGAAAATGGTTCCTATCTTTTAGGAATATTACGAGGACTTAGTACATTTATTTTATATATATGTATGTTATTGCACTTTAGGTTCTGGGGAACATGTGAAGAATGTGCAGGATTGTTGCATAGGTACATACATGGCAATGTGGTTTGCTGCCTCCATCCTCATCACTTATATCTGGCATTTCTCCCCATGTTATCCCTCCCCAACTCCCTACCCATCACAGTTCCTGAATAAATTATGGGACACATACAACTAATATTGAACCAGAAGAAGTAGAAAACCTAAGCAGACAAATAATGAGTAATGAGAGTGAACTGGTAGTAAAAAGTCTCCAGGTAGAGAAAAACCCAAGACTGGATAGCTCTACTGCCAAATTCTATTGAACTAACAAAGAAAAACTGGCACCAATTCTCTTCAAACTGTTCCAAAAAATCAAACAGGAGGGAATTCTCTCTAATTCGTTCTAGAAGGTCAGCATTACCCATTACCAAAATCAGGCAAAGACATACACCAAAAAAAGGAACCACAGGCCAATATTCCTGATAAAAATAGATGCAAAAATCCTCAATAAACTCTTAGCAAACTTAAACCAACAGTACATCAAAAAAAGATAATGTACTATGATCAAGTGGGATTTATCCCAGGAATGTAAGGATAGTTCAGCATATGCAAATCAATAAACATGATACATCACATCAACAGAATGAAAAAAAACTTTAAAATCATCTCAATTGATACAGAAAAGGATTTGATAAAATTTGGCATATTTTTATTACAAAATTTTTTAACAAACTAGGCATAGAAGGAACATATCTCAACATATTGAAAGGCGGAAAAGCTGAAATCCTTTCCTTTAATAGCTGGATTAAGACAAGAATGCTCCCTTTCACCACTTATATTCAATGTAGTAATGTAAGTCCTCATTAGAGCAACCAAGCAAGAAAAATAAATAAAATGCATCCAAATTAGAAAAGAGAAAGTTGAATTGTCACTCTTTGCAGATGACATAGTATTGTATACAGAAAAGCCCTAAAGACTATGCCATAAAATTGTTAGAGTTGATAATGATGCAGAAAACTGAAACTGGACTCTGTCCTTACACTGTATACAAAAATTAACTCAAGATAAATTAAAGACTTAAACATAAGACCTAAAACCATAAAAACCCTAGAAGAAAACATACGCAATACCATTCAGGGCATAGACATGGGCAAAGACTTCATGACTAAAACAACAAAAGCAATGGTGACAAAAGCCAAAATAGACAAATGGGATCTAATTAAACTCCAGAGCTTCTGCACAGCAAAAGAAACAAGCTTTAGAGTGAATTGGCAACCAACAGAATGGGAAAAAATTTTTGCAATCTACCCATCTGAGAAAGGGCTAATATCCAGCATCTACAAAGAACTAAAACAGATTTACAAGAAGAAAACAAACAAACCTATTCAAAAATGGGTGAAGGATATGAACAGACACTTTTCAAAAGAAGATATACATGAGGCCAACAAACATGAAAAAATGCTCATCATCACTGGTCATTGGAGAAATGCAAATCAAAACCACTATGAGATACCATCTCATGTCAGTTAGAATGGCGATCATTAAAAAGTCAGGAAACAACAGATGCTGGAGAGGATGTAGAGAAATAGAAACAATTTCTATTGCTGGGAGTGCAAATTAGTTCAACCATTGTGGAAGACAGTATGGCAATTCCTCAAGGATTTAGAACCAGAAATATCAATTGACATAGCAATCCCATTATTAGATATATACCCAAAGGATTATAAACCAGTCTACTATAAATACACATTTGCACATATGTTTATTGCAGCACTGTTCACAATAGCAAAGACTTGGAACCAACCAAATGCCCATCAATGAGAGACTTGATAAAGAAAATGTGGCACATATACACCATGCAATACTATGCAGCCATAAGAAAGGATGAGTTCATGTCCTTTATCCATGTAGGGACATGGATAAAGCTGGAAACCATCATTCTCAGCAAACTAACAGAGGAACAGAAAACCAAACACCACATGTTCTCACTCATAAGTGGGAGTTGAACAATGAGAACATGTGGACACAGAAAGGGGAACATCATACTCTGGGGCCTGTAGGGTTGGGGGCTAGGGGAGGGATAGCATTAGGAGAAATAACTAATGTAGATGATGCGTTGATGGGTGCAGCAAACCACGATGGCACATGTATATGTATGTAACAAACCTGCATGTTCCGCACATGTATCCCAGAACTCAAAGTATAAAAATAAATAAATGAAATAACATTAAAAAAATTGATAATGAGTTCCAGAAAGTTGCAGGAT